CCCTGGCACCCTCCACCGCCCAAGGGGGTTTGCTCTGAGCCGGAGATGGCACCGTTTGCACGGCCGTAAAAAGAGATCATCCATGAATAAATTATGGATTTGCCCAACGTGGGATAAACGTTTCGGGCTTCGTGTTTCAGGATTTCTGACCCCTTCCCTCCGGCCCGGCTCCTCCTCCTCATTCCATTCCCCGGACATCCTGTTCCCTCAGGGCTCTCCCCTCTCCCCCGGGGTCTTTCTTTTAACATTCCTTTTCCTCCAAGATTTGTTCCACCCCGTGTTTTCTCCCTCCCCTTTCTCCTCCCCAGTTTACCCCCAAGATTGTCACCTAAACCTCATCTGTCCCTGCGTCTCTTTCCCCGGGCCTTTTTAGCCATCCCCGTCCCCATCACCCGGACCCTACCTCCTTCCCCTCCCCCTCCCCTCCCCTCGGGCCATCCCCCTCTCCCCTCCCCCGGCTGGCCATTCCACCCCGAGGTCCTCCCTGAGAAGCCATCGGCGCTCGTGAGAGCCTGCGATGGCCCCGGAGACGACGTCGGCCATGCCGTGTACAGCGCTTTTGTCGGCAGATTCGGTGATGATTCGAGGTGGAATTATAATTTTCCGATGAGGATTTGGCGAGGATTCGATGGAGATTCAAGGCGAAGATTAAGTGAGGTTTTCTTTAGGACTGGGGTGTGGATTTTAATTCGGTGAGGCTTTGGAACGAGGAATCATTATGGATTCTTAGGTGTAAGGATTTGGGTCTAGATTTGCATATGTGGCTAGGATTTAAGCTGAAAAATAAGCGACGATTCGATATGGATTCGAAGATTCAGAGACTCGGTAAGGATTCGAACAAGAAATCCCCAAGGGTCTGACCATGAGTCGCCGAGATCTGACAGCGATTCGGGACGAGGTTTCAGGCTTTAAGATCGGCATAACCATTCCCGCCGAAATGCCGGTGACTGACGGCGCATCCCGCTTCGCACCGCCATTTACGGACGACACATCGGCCAAGGAAGGCACGAGGCGGGAGAGACGGCCGGCCCGACCCGACTGGCTGCTCCTTGGCCAGCGACGGCGTGGAGGCTGGGCGAGCGCGGAGGCAGGGCGCAGCAGATGGGTTGCAGTTGGAATATCATGCATGTTTGTTATCTGATGTATGATAAAATGTACCATAATGCATACAAATTGCATATCTATATCTATATCTGTAGAACTATATATGTTATATATACATATGTATAAATATTTTGTATATATATATATATTATATATATATATATATATATATATATATATATATATAATATATATATATGTATATGTATATATATATATAATGTATATGTATATATATCAATACATACATACATATATATATATATATATATAATATATATATATATATATAATATATATATATATATGAATGTATATATATATATATATATATATATATATATATATATATATATATATATATATATATATATGAATGTATATATATATACATATATATATATATATATATAATATATAATATATATAATGTAATATGTATATATATATATATATGTATATATATATATATATATATATATATATATATATATATATATATATATGTGTGTGTGTGTGTGTGTGTGTGTGTGTGTGAATATATATGCATATATATAAATGTATATACCTATACATATATATATATATATAATATATATATATATATATATATATATATATATATATATATATATATATATATATATATGTATGTATATGTATATATATATATGTATATATATATATATATATATATATATATATATATATATATATATATGTAGTATATGTATATATATATATATATATATATATATATATATATATATATATATATATATATATATATATATATATATTATATATATTATATATGTAAATGCAGACACACACACACACACACACACACACACCACACACACCACACACACACACACACACACACACACACCACACACACACACACACACACACACACATACACACACACATACACACACACACACACACACACACACACACACACACACACACACATAACACACATATATATTAATATTATAATATATAATATTATATTATATATATTACATTATACATATTATATATATTCATACATACATATATATATATATATCTATATATATATATATATGATATATATATATAATAATATTATATTATGTATGTATGTATGTATGTTTGTACAATATGTGTTGTATATATATATGTATATACATACATAACATATATACACATATTATATATGTTATGTTATTGTACATATGTATATTAATATGTATATTATATATATATATATATTAATATATATATATATAATATAATATACATACTGTTATACATATAATCACATTAACATATAATATATGTAGTTAATATAAAATTGATGTTAATAGTTATGTATATCATATCATAAATGCATATACACTACCATACAACACTACAACACACCCACACACACACTACAACAACACACACAACAACATCACACACACAATACATACATATATTATATATATATTATATATATATGTTATTAGTATATATTGATAGTATATATATCAAACACACACACAACACTCAACTATATTAGATATTATTAATATGTATAATGATGTATATATATATATATATATATTAATATACTAATAATATATATAGTGTGTGGAGATGTGTAGGTGTGTGGTGTGTGATGTGTGATGTTGATTGTTGATGTGTGTGTGGTGATGTGTGTTATTAGTTTATGTGTGTGATGTGTGTGTAGTTGTGTGTTGATGTGTAGCATTATTTAATATGTATATATATATGATGTATTATGTATTATATTATATGATTATATAATATATATATGTGTGTGGTTTAGTTAGTGTTGTAGTGGTATAGTAGTTTAGTTAGGTGATAGTTGTTGTGATGATGTGTTGTAATTGTGTGGGTATTTGATGTGTGTGTAGTGTCGATGTGTGAGTAGTTTGCGATTAGTTATGTTATGACATATGATGTGTTAGTGTGGTGTTGATAAGTGTTATGTAGA